GGAGATATTCAACCCCCGCCTGGCCGCTGTCCTGTGCCCCCTGCTCTGGGTTGGACTGGGTGATTTCCCAAGGTCCCTTCCAACCCCTGCCATTCTGTGATTAAAGATTCCATATATGCATTTGGGAACGGGGCTTAATGCAGTAGCCACGCTAGGAAACAGGAGTCCCTGGTTATCGGGCAGAGTGTGATGTCATGAAAGTCATGAAGAGAGACGGGGGATGCAGTAATCCACAGTGAAGAGCGCAGCGCACCTTAACAGGGATGTGGTGTCATGTGCTGAAAGCGTCTCCGACTATCAGAAATAGAAACTGGGATGACCACAGGAGAACAGGTCCGAGGTGTGTGGGCTGAAGAGTTTGTTGGAGAAGCAGCAGCCTACTTTGCTTACGTGTGACGGCTGAGAACTGAGGACCGATACCAGCAAACCGCAGAGCGACGCTTGAGCAGAAGTACGGGGAGAACCAGGAAGCACCTGCCCGAGCAGATGGCACCCCGGAACGGGGCAGAGGGGCGGCAGGGCCCTCGGCCCCCCTGGGAACGCAGAGGACGAGGCAGAACGTCAGGCTGGGCGGGAAACACTTGCCAGTTGAAGCTGCGCGATGTGTAACACCCCTACCCAAGCACCCGATGGTGCCTTATCATCGATGCTACCGCAGACGTGGTTACGTACTATGGGAACCAACCCAGCCACCTGCTGGATAGGTTCTCTGCTAGACGTTCACCTGTGGGTGTTTTCTTACCTCTCCAGGTAAGTATTGCGGTGTTATCTGTGGTGGTTGGTTACCCATGGCGTGTTGCTCTTCTGCTGCGTCTCACTGTGCAGCAGTTTTTTTTGGGAGAGGGAGGAAAGGTAAGTACAGCTCATGTGGTCTGTCCTGTACCAGTACTTACTTGTATTAGTACGTACTCCAATTAGTGCTTTGATTTGCTTGTGCATTGTGGCGTAGGCTGTAAGAAGGTTGACCCTATACAATTTCTGCAAGTTGAATCTTCCTGTCTTTGGTGCAGCTAAACACGAATTAACTTGAGGACACGTATTCCCTTAGCCTATCTCTCCAAATGAGTTCAGGTTGTCCTCCCTAATTCCGACTGCTCATCTACGAGTCTGTAATATTACAGAGACCGCAGTGCGATACAACTAAATTGGTTCAGACCAGCTGGGGCCCGCTCATCTTGCTCAGGTATCTAACGGAGCTCAGAAAGGGTGCTCGCCCAGGCTACTTGCATCAGGTGAAGGTTTATTCTGTGTTCTGGTGACAAAACAGGAGGAAAGAAATGTAAAAATTACAGTCTTAACTGTGTTTTCAGGGGAGCTCAGTAGATGGCTTGGAGAGTGATTCAGGAGCTGGAATTTTCCTTAAAAACACAGAGACTTCTGAAAAACAAATGAGGAGTAGGTTTTTAGTCCTTCTGTCATACTTCTGTGGTAGTGAGCTGGTTTAGATGGAATGTAGCTTGACTAAGGTCACCTTTCCACTTCTCCCTCTCTATACTGACACAGTTATGTGCTGGCTGTCACGGCTGTAGTGTGCCTGGATGAGGCCCAACATCCTCGCCAAGGGGGCTAAGGTTTGAGAGGAGACCTCTGTGCAGCAGCCCGCGTGCTGGAAACGTGCCCCATGAGTAAGCTGGAGAGGGGCCGTGGAGAGCGGTGCCCTCCCCCGGGGGGGACATGCGGTGCCGGCTCTCCGGCTAACTGCAAACCAGCAAGTTCTTCAGGAGGAGGTGGCAAGGCAGTGTGGAAGGGGAGGAGAGGGGGCTGCGCGAGGCTGCGGGCTGAGCGGCTGTGGGCAAATAGCTGCTTATACTTACAGAAACTGTGTAAGCTGGTGGTCGTTTCTTGCTGCTTGGCTGTATGCAAGAGAATCGGGTGTGATGCAGCAGCGAGCGTGCACGTGGCAGTGAGGTTGGGAAGGAGCCCCACGAGCCCAGTTCATCCTCCTTTTGCACGCGTGTATTTTCTGCGAGATTCTTAACTCTCTTCGAACACAAAGCCATCTGAATTCTGCCTTGAATTTTATTTTGTGGAGTCATGTTCTTTCAGAAGCGATGCAGTGTGTTGATACACCCCTGACCACGTAAACACTGAAATTACGTTGCTGCGGTTGCGCTTCGGGAGCATTAGGAGCCTGTGCTCTGCTGTTTCCTAAGCGAGCTCTTGGGTTCCACCAAGCTTTCCACCACTTGCAAGCCTGGCCAGTTTTATTCCACGATAGCTTACCCATGGAGTTGTTTTGGCTGTACCTTTGCCTGGTATCTTGGTACTGGGCACAGCAAAGAAGAGAGGATTGCAGTACTATATCAGAGTTTTTGAAAGGTAGAGGAGAAGTGGCAGTCTTGCACTAAAAAGAGCAACCTAAGAAGCTGATTGGGTCTTCTGCCACTGTATTAAAGGGGTTTTTCTTCTGCATCCATGGCTGTTTCCAGCTCCCTCTGAAATCTCCTCTCTGCCCCTGAGGAAGCTTTGTCCTCGAGGAAGCTTTGTCCTATTCCCCGTTTGCCTCTTCTCCATCCTGCCCTCGGGGAGGATGAAGGGCTGTCCCACCTCCCGGGGTGAGGACAGATGCCATTCTTTCTCAGGGTGACGTTTAGGTGCTGCCTCGCTCTGTGCCTTTGCTCTGCTGCATAGCTCAAAGCCAGAGCTGACCCTAAGCTGTGCTGGCTGCTGCCGCCGCGAGCATTTTCTCTCCCTGAACTTCCTCCCGCCTTGCTTCATCTTCCTAAGTGTGCTCTTGCAAACTTCCTTTGCAAAGAGGATAAGGCAAAAAAAAAAAAAAAGACCTCTGGGGTCTCCAGCAGCACTCTCCTTTGCCCTCCCTGCTCCGAAACATGTCCGTAGGTGGGCGCTGTCTGGGATGAGCCACCTTGCTGGGCAAGAGAGATAACAGGGCAGGCCAGGGCCTCGTGTGCTGGCGAGCAAGCACACAGATAGGGGGAAATGTGGCTGCTGTACCCTCTGGGTTTGGGGTGGAGCTGCTTTTATTTTACTTTTTTATTTTTTTCTTTTTTTTTTTGGCGGAAGCTGTGTGTATGTGTAAAGCTGATGACTGAGAAAACTCTGTCCCCAAACTGATCTCGCTGGAGGATCCTGATACTTAAATACTGTTGCAGTTAGAAGATAGGCATGTTTGCCTTTAAAATGGCTTTCCTGCTCTCCAAATTTGAAAGCAAAGAGGGTTTTTTGTAGTCTTGTTCTTGGGGTTTTGGGTTCCCCTCCCAGCAGAATACATGTATTTGGGATCAGGAGCATTTGACTTGATCCTTGGTTTCTTCTAACCAGCCTAAAATTCTTCTGGAAGACTTTTGTGGAGTCATTCCCTATCATAATTCTTCTAGGAAAATTGTAGACTCTTGGAAAATGTATTTCCTGTCTAACGCTGATCCTCCTACTCTCAATGAATCACTTGTACTCCCGTGTTGCTTTGGGCTGACTTCCCTATTGACTTCGGTGCCTGGGATTTAATTAGAAATCTAGGGATGTTATTTGGAGCTATAAAACTACATAGGACTCTTCTCTGTGCAGCAGGATTACAGTAATAAAAAAATCAAGAAAATTAAATATTTGCATATTAACTGTCCTTGGTGCAAACTGATGAGTTGCTTCATGTTTCCGCGTACGCCGCTCTCACAGATTTGTTTTATCCCATCCTCGGCGTAAAGCAGCACACACCCCCCTTCCCAAGCCTCAGGTATGGGATGGGGTCTGCAGTGCACGTGGAAGGATGGGTTTCCCTGGGTATTTTACGGGGCAGAAATAACCCCCAGCAATTCTCTGTCGGTGTGAAAATGTCTGGGTGTTCCCCACATGGGTGGGCCCTTCCTGTGGAGTCACAGTCCACAGCTTCCCCAGAGCCCAGGAAAACTCATGTTGGCTACGAAGGGACTTGAATCCCGTAAGGCTGAGCTGGCTTTCGGGTGAAAAGGAGCAGTTTTAATCAGGCTGGGCCGTATTCAGGGGCTCTTTTGCATTGATGCTGTTGGTTCGTGTCCCTTGAAGATAGCACCTGCCAAAAGAGCGGTGATCTATTTTAAAAAAACAAAACCAAAAAACCAACCAAAAAACAAACAGAAAACAAAACCCCAAAGCCCTGCAGCCTGTAACTTGCTGCACCCTGCTGCGGGGCTGCCCAGCTTTGGCTGTCAGGCAGGTCCTGTGCTGCTCAGGCCGACGGGGCCGTTATCTTCCCCGCTCCCTTGGAGCCTCCCTGCTGCAGCCCGGCAGGGGAGATAAGGAGTGCACTGCTGCAGCAGCAGCTAGGCTCACCGAGCCTCCCCTGCCAGCATCGTCTGACACGTCCCTTGCCATTCCCCGAGAAAGGAGTTCCCTCCGTGGAGCAGATCTTCCCCCTAAAGTACCATCGAGCTACTGTAATAAGGAGGGATGAGGGTAGACACCAGCAAGACCTGGTTTAGGATCACCAGTGCCTGCCGCTGGGTTTCAGGAGCATCTGAGGGCGATCTTCCCGCCACGCTTGAAAAGCTGGAATAATTTTTGCATGCAGAGAGAAGCTTATTTTAACAATTGATGATCTGTTGTAATAGCACACGAGTTGTATGGAGTTGTAGGTTAGTTTAACAATAAAGAGATTGGGTTTATATTTTTTAGAATGTTTATTGCTCGCATATACCAGAGGCGACGTTACTTCTAACAACGGAGTCTGTTAGGCTAGGATTCATGTTTTTGAACAAGGCAAAGGGGGGCAGTTGAAGCAAAGCCAAATATCTGTGTTTTTTGAAACACTGGTAACCTGGCATGCCAGCAAAAGTGGGGATCAGACACTGAGAATAACCTTCGGCATGCTTGCCAATGTACTGGAATACCTTTCATTTTTGCCTGATCTGTGCGTCGTCCTTTGCTTGTGAGTGAGATCTTTATCCTCTGCGCAGAACGTCTTATACATGTTTTGCATTGTTCTTTTTCCAGGTTAAAGAACTCGTTCTTGACAACTGTAGGTCATACGAAGGCAAAATCGAAGGCCTTACAGATGAGTTTGAAGAGCTGGAATTCTTAAGTACAATCAACGTAGGCTTAACCTCAGTTGCAAACTTACCAAAGTTAAACAAACTTAAGAAGGTAAATAAAATGCCCCACGCTACATCCCTCCCTCTTTGCACTGTACCGAATGTAAAACAGTTGTTTGTATAAAAACGTGATTAGCTGACCCAACTGCTTTGTGATACATGTTTGCACTAAAAACTCAAGCTGTTTATGTGCCTTTTAGCTCGAGCTAAGCGACAACAGAATCTCAGGAGGACTGGAAGTGTTGGCAGAAAAGTGTCCAAACCTCACGCATCTAAATCTAAGCGGCAACAAAATAAAAGATCTCAGTACAATAGAACCGCTGGTAAGTTGATGCAGTACAGGATGAAATCAAACCCTGTTTTGTGATGAGTAGAGGCATTTCAGGCTTGGAAAGTCCAAAGCGACTTGCAGTGGAGTGTCTGGGGTGCTTGTCTCTCGGGCCAGGTTGCTGTGGGGCTCAGCCTGGCCCCGGGCCGTGTCACAGCCCTGCCCTGGGGCTAACCCGGCAGCGTGGGGGGGTGGGTTCT